GACTTATAAGTGCATTACCGCCACCTATCTCTGTATCTATCCTAATGATATGGGGACCATTGACACTATCTGCAATCTCAATTAGGAGTGTCAATGGTCCACTTGAGCGATAGGTGGCGGTAATGCACTTATAAGTCTGCGATCTACCGTAAAGCAAGAAGAAGAGGTGTCACACACCGGCTGTTGAGAGCACACTCAGGAGGACTTGCCGCCGCTCAGGACAGTTCGAACAGTTCGGACATTGCGTGAATCGGGGGTAAAAAACTATATAAATACTGTTCAGTTTCTTGCACAGATCGATCGTTTCGTGTCTTTACAGATAAGTGTATCGTCACGAGCCGCAGGGTTTAATTTGGTTTTGTTTGTGTATGCTTTTTTTTACTCTCAAAGTCGTGATTCCCATTCACCTCCATTATATGACTGACAGACTGCAACGGTTTGTGTTAAAAATCTTCGTTTGTGTTCTACTGAAGAAACAAAGTCACCTACATCTTGGATGCCCTCGGGGTAAGCAGATAAACACCAAATATTCATTTTTAGGTGAACTATCCCTTTAATGATTTTGTGTGGTTGCATTTGTAGGCCTAGATCTGATTCAAAATGTTTCAGCTTCCACATTCATTGCTTTGGTCTGTATTTTTATCTGCTCAGCAGGAGGAAGTTCCTAATTTTCTATGTAAAGTAGGTCTGTTTTCTGCCAGTCGTGAAACACATGACAGTGCAGAAAGGGCAGATGTGCAGATCTTGGTGAATCGCCTGTAATGTTCTTCATAAAAGTTCTTAGGTTTTAAAATCCCAAAGTGGTAAGTGTTTTGTACTGGAGAGCGTGTGGGACTGACGTGAAGCTTGCATTCTTGTGTCGATTAAAACCAGTGTGGGACCACAGGGGAGAAAGAGAGGGGGAACCTGTAGAAACCCTCAGCTTCTAATCTCCACAAACGCTGAACGGCGAGAGCGGGCGACACGTGAGCTGTAAACTCTGCTAGTGAAGCAGATGAGAGAGGGAGATATAACAAGTGGAGAGGGAGGGAGGGAAGGAGGAAGGGAGGGAGGGAGAGTGTGTGAATGAGGGTGGGGAGAGAGCGTGAGGATGAGAGCTCAGTTCCAGAGTGACTCGCTTTGCCTTTGCCCGCTCAGTTTGAAGACATCAGGAGACTTGAGACCAGGAGAGGAACCTTGCAGGCGGGGTGCGCCGACTACAGTTTTTTTCTGTCTCTCTCCTTCTGTTTTATTCTTTCTACGGGTGAAGCCTCCTACATTAACTGAAGCAGCAGGACCACATGCAACAGGGTGTTGAAGCCAAACTCCCTCCATTTCTTTCGCTTCTCTGTTCAAGAAAAGAGCAGGAAAGAGATGCCCTGACACTCGGGAAGAGTTTTAGAAGAAAACGAAACATCACAGTGTAGGGTTCCTTGTTTCCGTGGCTTTCGTTCTACATTTGTTAAGGAAACCTTCAAAGTTATGACTAAAAGAATGTGGGAGGGGAGGAGAGAAGGCTTCAAAGTCAGCTCCACAAGGGAGGAGGCACAGGGGCCCGGGCGCCCCTCCACCAGAGGGCGCTTCTCCGAGTCGTGGAAGAGACTGAGCTCCAGACAAGGGTCTACCAAGAGGTCAGGACTGGCCTCACAGCAAGTAGCGGTAAGAAGCAGAACAGCATCTGTGTGTGCTCCGTTCTTCCCAGTTTGTTGAATTTGGAGCAAGGGGGGTGGGTGCAGGGGAGGGACCGCTGATGGAAGGGAGGAAGAGCAGAGAACGAGGGCATGGGATCACACAGAGATAGAGAGGGGGTGCAGGAAAGAGTCTGGCTTAAGCAGGTGGGAATCTAAAGGTCCCCTTCTGCCTCTGAGGATGTTAGTGGAAAGTTTCAGCACGTTGTGACCACTAAAGGGTTTTTATGATGATGAATGATGCTTTCGTATGCACAGAACAGAAGCAAGGAGTGAGACAAGATGGGCTGAGAAAGAGTGAGAAGCTTTTATTGCCTATATGTACCACAATCAGGTGTTCTGCGAAGACCATGTGCCATATGGAAAACATTATTGTTGTTGTGTGATATAAAGTGCTTTGTTGCGCCAGGCTATAGAATACTCGTGTGTGCTAAGTGGGGGGGAAATCGCATTTTGGTTCACATCTCAGTAGTCAAAAATTTCAGGCATGTTGCAATTCCAGCAAGGAAACTCCAATCCCCTGAAGTTTCATCTCATTTTGGCTGATTTAAAGTCTATAGCAGTCGATTAGTACAGAATGAGGGTAAACTCAGTGGGTCAGTTGTTGCTAAGCACACGAGCGTGCCCTGAAGCATGCTCTAAACCATCTGTCACACACCGAAGACAGATTCTTTTGGCACTTTTATGCAAATTCAGTTGCACAGTTTGAATGACTTAGCTAGAGGGATAGATACTGTATTTTTTGGATTTTATTTTATTATTTTTTTGCAGAAAAATGCAGAAAGTTTTCTGTTAGGTTATTGAAATTAAATAGAAGTCTATGGTGTATCCCCATTTAGATATCTAAGTAAATGTGTGTTTAGTGTTTTTGAACTTACAGTCCAAAGTTACTTATGATACCACATAGTTGAGGTCGGCTGATCAAACACACTGCATGTCCTAACAATGAGGATGGCAGTGTAATGAAGTCCATGTAAGGGAGTTTTGGGCTAGTTGACAAAACTGTCATTTGTCTTTTTAAGCTACTGCTGCACTGTCACAAAGTTTTACATTCACTGATGTTGTGCATCAAAAATGTTTGGTTTTCTGTCATCGTTGTAGATCCAGCCGATTTGTCACCAAGATAATGTTATATAATTGGCCAAATGAGAAATCGCATGAATGACAGGTGATAGTCTTGAAAGCATCAGTACGTATGTATATAAAACTAGTAATATTTTGCATAGTGTAACATAATTTTTCAGTACAAAGTGTGAAAAATACTACCAAACAGTCAGTTGTTGCATTCTGGTAAAAATCTGAACTACTGGCATGACTGGTCAAAAAAAAATCCTTTTTGTTGAGCCCTGCATTACACACCAAGACATGTATGCATTGACATAAACAGAAATCTGCAATCATAGAGATGGAAGTCATTAATTAGCTACTTAGTCTAAAGTGCAGTTGCGATTAGGCTACTGAAATGTAGCAGAGTAGCATTTTTAAGTAGCCTATACACAGTATTTTATGCAAACTGAAAATATTTTCTCCACCGTTAATCGGAGTCAAAAATTACTCTAAGGCCACTGTCACACACAACTTTCCATTCAGTACTGTTCTGAATGTTAAAAAAAGTATGCAGTTTATACATGGATAAAAAATAATGGAAATACACTACGTGGGAAATTTACTTAACATAATGAGGAATATCTGAAGTCTTGATGCATGTCTGAAAAAAGCTCTAATTTAAGGACAAAGTGATATTAGTGTATATCAATGCCATCTGAATTAAAAACAATCGTTTGGCAAGATCACTCTCATCCACGGTGTATTTAAATCCATGCAGTAAGTGTTTACTTGCCGTTTCATGCCTAAGCTCTGTTGTTAAATACTACATTCGTATTAACAGTATTGTCTTTATGTAGGTGGGTGTGAAATTATTTGTGGTCATGTTGCTATAGAAACGTCTCCGCTTTGTTTATCATATAGATCTTTTGAATCGCATCTTTATCAACTTTGACACATCTAGACTGCCCATATATCCACTGGTTCACTGTTGATTTGAACAATGTGCATGTTTGTAAACTATACATACATTTGTCATCTAGTGTACATTTCTTCTGAAATGTTTAGATGAGTTTAATAGAGAAATTTTTGTCACAAGGCACCTGCTGGAGAACCAGGATAAAAAAAAAGATAACAAATGTGTCACCAAATGGTGTTAGGGAGACATTAAGGTGAGAAATATTGAGAAGTTCTGAGAATGTACCATGCACTTGTGTTGCATTATAAATTGTGATGAGTGAAATTGAACTTGTGTAGTTAAGTGTCTTTGTTAATGTACATGTACTCCAACAGTCACCTTGAGGAGTTTTACAGTTTTATATCCCAACTCAGAGGAAGTTTGCATTCATGCTCGGCAGGCCGGACATTAGGCACTAAGTGGCAGTGCAAACAGTGAGGAGCATGTGCGTGCCAACACTACTGCTCAAACCGGCTAATTGTTCTGTAACGTGGTTTTGAACCAAAGGAGGCTGATGAGAACCTTGGCAACTGTAGCTTGGAAACAGAGTCATTTATATATCTTTGTTTCTTTATATGGGTTTATCAGTGGGAGGTGTTAAGAGGGATAGTGCTATAGTACACTCTAAAAAATTCTGGGTTAAATACAACCCAGTGCTGGGTATAATAGGGAAAACCCAGCAATTGGGCTGTTTTGACCCAGCAGTTGGGTTAAATGTTTAACCCAACCTTCTGGGTAGTAACCCAACCGCTGGGTCAAAACAACCCAATTGCTGGGTTTGTCCCTATTTTAACCAGCACTGGGTTGTATTTAACCCAGCATTTTTAAAAGTGTATGTTAAACTATAGAAATTCCAAATCAATATTCTGTACTTTAGTGTTTACATGCTGTTTAAATCCCAATGAAGTACACGTGGACTTCAGGTTTAAAAATTAAGTGTAAAGTGTGCACTTTGTCATATTACACACCTGTTCATTCACAGTCTGAAGTTATTCTACCCTGGAGTCACCAGATACTTGTCCCTTTTAGGGCATGGGCGGTATATCGAGTTTGTACGATATATCGATATTTTCTTTATAAGCGATTCGATATGAGGCAATACCGTTTATATCGATATACAGTAGTTTGATACGAGCGCACCTGAAAAAGGCCTTTAAAATCTGGTAAGACATAGTTTATAGTTTCGTTTAGCATATTAGTTTAAGCGGCTCGACCCGTCGTATGCTCTGACAGAAAGGCTGAGTGTGCCGCTGACAGAAACACTAGGCTACTCGCGCTGTTTAATGTGTTTGAGATGTGCTGTCTTCCTGAATGCATAACTTACATTTCACAGGTATATTCTCCATCTGTAAATGTTAGAAAGCCATTTTCTGTCAGCTAATGATTTATTAACGTAGTAGAATGAAGCAGGGTGAGGCTGAAAGCCGTCGAAGCGAAAAGAGGCCCCTGAACGAGCGTGACACACGCCTCGAAAGCAGCGGAGCTTTTATTATGCCACAGTCGACCGCTTCCGCTCCTTCCGGTCGTGCGTATGTGGGAAAAAAAAGCAGCGCTGTTTTATCATACTAGATACATTTGAAAGTTCTGTTATAATGCTACTCTGTGCGGTCGTCACCGATCTATTAAAACGCACAACATATTAAAGCGTCTTTGGTGTTTCCATGTTTTCTACAAAACAAAACCGGAAATCGAGGGGTTATGACATCATTGGCAGG